ATGTACAGCCGTGTTCTTTAGAAGCAGCATTTTGTGTTTTTTCGTGCTTGCAGAGGGTGTCAGCAACGGTCTCCGGGGCAACAGCAATCATTACTCAAATGGGTGAAGGACAAAACAATGTCTGACACAAAAAAGACAAAACTCAGGCAGAATGTTAAGGTTGCACATCTGGCAAGCTGATACCAAAAAACAAAAATCAAATTGGAGCTTGTATCTGTGTTTTTGTTAATGGGATTTGTTTTCTTCATCAATTAATGTGAAACATAATTTTTATCAGCTGAAACCTTTATGTGGTTTTTGTCTGTTTTCTCAGGTCAGAAAGATTAAATCAGCAATTTTAGACACAAAACTGCAAATATTTATTTTCATATCCGTTGTTGTATATTTCAAAAATTGATGCATTACAGCTTGTGTATTTATTTTTTCAATGTATTATTATTATTAGTAGTAGTAGTAGTAGTAGTATTTCAATTGGATTCAGATTTTATTTTACTGAGATCTTAGATTTTTTTAATTGGTTGTGTAGCCCATTAATGTCTGTATTAGAAAAATCTATTGTTTGTATTGATCTTTTGTAATATCCTAATTTCCTTAATTAAAACAGTCTGTTTCTCATTTTCAATTGAATTAGTAAAATAAATGGATATTTTGATGGAATTCAACTCTTCTGACGTCTTTCTGTTTTGGCTAACAATGTCCTGGCTGCAGCTTCATGTAGAGCATAACAGACATGAGACTCTCACACAGGTGTTTTAAAATGCTAATGTTATTTTAAGCCTCTTCATGCTGCAATGTGGGCTCTGTCTCACAGGGGGCAGCATAAAGAGCTTCGGCTTGGCGAGGGCCAGATACGACTTCTCGGCCCGGGACCGCACTGAGCTGTCCCTGCGAGAGGGGGACACCATCAAGATCCTCAAGAAGGGACAGACAGGCTGGTGGAAGGGAGAAGTCTATGGCCGGGTGAGATTAGCAAGACATCATCTACACAACGACAAAACGTTCAAATACTGAGAGACCGTCTTGTCTTACTTGTTTTTGCCTCTACTTCCAGGTGGGGTTGTTTCCATCCAACTATGTGGAGGAAGATTACTCTGATTATTGCTGAGACGTGTCATCCCGCTCTGAATGTCAAGCGTTTTTTGAATGACTGCATTAAAAACAAATGCATGAGTGTGAAACTGTGTGTGAAAGGACATGTGATTCTGCTGCTGGGTATGCAGTGATGTGAATAAAACCTTAAATTCAGTTGGTCTCATCTGGCTCAGTTATTCACTACAGATTTTGGGCAAACTTTTCTACCATGTTTTGGCAAACAATTTTACTTGAATATTTACTGAGACATAATTTATGTAATAGGAGATTTTGGGAATTTGATCTGAGGTCCATTGAAAGTTTCAAAATGGGTCTTTGCAGTATCTTGTAAAAGTTTTATTTTCTTTGCAGTTTTTCCACATTGTTGCTATTGCATTTAGAAGCTTCAATGTGATCATTACAGTATGTCAGCACAAAGTAAATCATTTTGAAGGGGGTGGAGGGTATGCTATAACATTTTGAAAATCTGAAAATTGTGGCAACCATTTGTACACTGAAAGTTTTGCCCATTTTTCTTTGCAAAATAGTTTAACCTTAATCAGATTTGATAATAGGTTTCTAGGAACATTAATGATCAAGTTGTAACACAAGTTGTCAATTTTATTTATGTGTTAACTTTGACTAGGCCATTTTATATGACATTAATGTACTGGTTAGGGTTTTTGTTCTGGAACGTGAACCTCCAGCTCCCAGTCTCAAGTCTTTCACAGGCTGTAATATGTTTTCTTTTGGCATTAGGTCAGCATTAATTTAAACTACATTCATCGAGGGCTGCTGTCCTGCAACCTTTAGACATGCAGCTTGTTTTACACACTTGAATTAAGTGGTGAAACTGCCGGACCAGCATGTAGTTCAACTGCAGGTGAGCTGACATTGGCGCCAGGTAAGCTGAACAGTGACTTGAGTTTGAGACCCACTGCTTTAGTGTTTTGCTCTTAGTTTTGTGTTTGACCGCAGCCTCTTCCTCTGATTTGTTTTGCACCTTACAATGATTGTGGCAAACTTTAAACCAAAATGTTTATTTGAAAGCCATATTTGTGGAAAGCACATCCAAGACTTTCTCTGACCTCTGAACTGTGCATGTCCTCCAGTTTTGGCCATTGGTTTCTCTACCAGCTAGTCGGACAGCCAGATCAGCAGGTTTGCAAATTTCCATGTTTGGCTAATGGATTGAATAGAGCTTTATGAAATGTAATTGTAATTTGACACAAAAAAAAGCCTCATTAATGGGTTATTTTTTTAAAATCAGGCTACACTGCATTCAGAAAAGTCTTAATTATTCTGTTTGAAAGCTGCTGCAAGGTACTTGCATAAAACTAAACTTGGTTCTGTTGTGATCCTTAATGAAGATAAATTAACTCTTTGCACATCAAAGATAGATATGATTTCTAGAGTATTTGTGGTTTTACGTCCAGGGCTCAGAATTTGTGGAAAGAAAAAAAGGTGACAAAGTCAAATTGTGCAGTTAGTTATTGTTAGAATCATTATGTTTCGTTATCTTTCTTAAATTAGTAGTTTTATATTACTAGTTGTTTTTCATTTTAAGGTTTAGTAAGGTTTAGTGTTGTCACCCAAAGAGGAAGAACTTGTTAAACTGTGTGTAAGAAATAACTAGCCTTTCTTTAACCTGGAGCATGTTTTTGTAGGTGGTATCTTAATCTTCCTTAGGAGAACTTCCTGAGATACTCTTTAGTTGCAAAACTGTCTGTGTGTAGAATTTTTAGTCTCTGTGTTCCTCCTTCCTTGTTATCAGGATATTCCCCTTTCTGTTGAGATCACTCTCCCACATTCCATTCACTTCCTTTCCTTCGCTAATAAAAATACAAGCTCTACAGCAGAATGTCAGAACACACAGTGAGCAGCTTGCAGAAGCAGTTTTCTGTGTCTTCTCCTTTTGCAAAATCTTGGTTGAAAACTAATAAACGTTGTCTGTGGTTCTTTTTAAGTAGGTCAAGAAAATACCTATCAGTTATCACTGTTCAAAACTTCAGATGTGATCAGTGTGGACTAGTGTTGTGAATATATTCAGCTTCATATCTAGAAAACTAAAAGATGAAGTAACACATGAACATAGCATAATGACGACTAATTATAGACTGAATTGCTCTTACAGAAGAAACAAAAAATGTAATTTGTAATATTAAAAAATATATAAAACATTCCAATTAGTTAAACATTTAAAACTATGAGTCGAATGTACACTAATCGTAAATATATATCAGACATTATAGCCAAGCATCTACAATGCTCAAGAAAAAAGTAGAAACATTTTAAATGTTTCAAATTGTCACAAAACGTTTTTCTATGAGCAAAGCAATACTAGAAAAGATGTGGAGTTTTCAACAAATGAAGGTTATTATAACTCACAAACTAAGTCACAGCTCTTAGTTTACAGCACAGATAAAATTAAACTCATCATGATCAGACTTATGAACCAGCGATGGTGAAGCAGATCGTCAAATGAAGGATTGAGGCTTTACTAAGGAACATTGAGGTTTGTTGGAAGTATACCCTGAGTTTCACCGGAAGAGCTGTATGTACAAAAACACACACAAAAAGACAGTGTAAGCTTCAAAAACATGATCTTACAACCATGAACCAAAATGTCACATTCTTCACTACTAAAATGTCAACTCTTATTGAAACTATGAGAATAAACTTTTAGTTTATTCAAAAACTCAGTGGAAATATAGACACCATATATTGTGGTATATATACCAGTATTTATATAGAATAAGACAAATTCACAATTTCAAGCAATCACAGAAATATTCTTACTTACAAAATAAACATACCTTGTGCCTCTATCAAGGGGACCATTAATTTTAACAATGTTGCAACTAGTCTTTTGTTTTTTTTTCTGTTGTTAAGCTGCTGTTCTATAGTGTAAACAGTGAAAGTTGTCTTATCAAAATAAAGGCATCAAATCAAAAACCGGTAGTCAACCAGATAAACAGGCAGGCCCTGTTTAAATTTCTTCAGAAATGTTCTAGTTTCATTCTGAACTGCACAAACTTCATCTGGGGGGAAATATCTTCCTGGATGATACATTGCTGTAAAGAAAAACCTTGCAAACAATGTCTTCTCTGTAAAAGGTCCAGACACTGAGCCACAGACCTTCTGATGATACTCAAGTTCATGATGCTACGTATTGTGGCATTCATCCAACAGTTGAAGAATGAGTTGGAAAATTTGCAAAAGTACATGTTTGGCTCAAGATTAACATCCACACTGTTGAAATCATCTGTGTCATTTTGAATTTCAACCTGTGAGTTTTCTTCTGCTGAAGGGGATTCTTCTGATGATAAATCCTCAGAAATTTCTTCAGAATTTGTCGCAATTTCCTTGTTGTTAAAGTTTGGTTTCACATCCAGGTCCATTATGTTTTTGGGAAGACTGGTAAAGACGCTTTTTTGTAATATCTTTGTTGGTAAAGAGTTAGCTGTTATTGTAAAGGTGACTCGCTCAACCTGTGAGCAAACAAACACATCCAGTTTCATTTGATCATGAGGAACAAAGTCTTCTGATGCCTTTACTGTCAAATCCGTAGTTGTGGTTTTGACAGTAACTTTAGAGGAATCTTCCATGTCCTTTTTGTCTTCAATGTCAAAAGCAAAGTATTTTGATCTCTCGTCCTCAGAGTTCTCTACTAAACCATTGTTGCCTCTTATGTTTTATCCTAACAACTTTTCAACTCCCTTTGTAACAAGAAATCCAAGGATCCATAAATATCAAAATCCTCTTGACTTGATGTTCAGCTAAAATGGTTTGTAGAATCAGTTTGAAGTCGTCTCTCAGGAATCGATCTGCCTCCAACCAAGTTGAGAAGCAAACTGAGAATTCTTGAATTCTTGTAACTCTGTGAACATTTATGACATCATCAGTTTGAACATAGATTCTCATCGACATGATGTCAAAATCTTTCAGGTTCTTGTTTATTTCAGTTGCTATAGAAACACAAGGAGTTATGAATGGGATAAGACTATAATAAAAGATGCATGTGTAGACATCTAAATTTGTAAATACTAGTCAATAAAATCCTGTTTTCCATCTCATACATACATGTAAGAAGCTGAGATTTTACCTATGAGAATATCAGTAAGCAAATAAATTACAAGTATTTTTGATAAGATTTATATAGAGTAATTATTTTTTACTAGCAATACTAGACACACATCAGTTACATGTATAAACTGGCTCTAAGCCATCTGCTTCATGTATTTTGAACTGTAGGTGAGGAGGATCTTCTTAACCCTCTGATGTGTAAGTGGGTCTTTTTTCACTCAGTGAGGTCTTTTTTTTTTTTTTTTGCAATACCTTTGTAATTGTTTTCATCATTTCATATTCCAGATATTCCTCAAAAAACATGTAACTGTGGGGGGCTGCAGTGGCACATGTTCTCGACTCGGCTGTCACAGGTTTGATTCTTGTCCTGGCGACTTTTATCACATCTTACCTCTTCCTCTCATTACCCACTTTACTGTCTCTTTCCTATGAAGTAAAGGCCACTAGAGCAAATAAAACCTTCAAGAAAAACATCTTACTGATTTCATGCAATTAAAACTTCCAGAGGAACATCCCTCTGGAAGGAGACCCAGGGAAAGACCAGAGACACGATGGAGAGACAATGTTCCTGGGAACACTTTGAGATTCCCCCAGAGGATCTGGAAAAGGTGGCTGGGAGAGGGAAGTCTGGGCCTCCTTACTTAGGCTGCTACACCCATGAGCCAACTCCAGATAGAGGGATAAATAAATGCACACACATACGCACACAAACACATGGTAAACAGCACAATAGAATAATATAGGCTGTAATGTTAAAATCATAGACATTGTCAAACTGACAGATGAAGGGTTTCTGTATGATATGTTTTCTCCTACATATTATGTTGTTTCTAAGTTATTTAAGTGCCCAAAGGTCTGTATTATCATTATTATTATTATTATTATTATTGTTTTAATATAATGGATGTTCACATTGTTCAATTTGTGATGTAAACTTCTCATTGTTTTAAAAATGTTCCACAAATCGTCACAAGTGTTCAACAAATGTTTTTAAAAAATTAAAAATAAAAATATTTCAAACATGAAATAATTCCTGTGTGGAATAAAACATAAAAATGTAGAAAATATTATATACAAGTTTATAAAATACTTTCTACTTTTGCATGTCTTATTGAGTTCTGATGAGTGGCTCACAGTACATATAGTATAAAACAGATACCTGAAAAAGATATAAAATCCACCTTAATCTGCAACAGGTTCAAATAAGATGTCTGTTCTAAAAATGTTTCCTGAAGGTAAAAAATAATCCTTATGATGATTACTGAAACTGATGCACTACAATTTAACTGTTTAGAGGTTATTTAATGAAGGTTTTATAATTTTTGGTTAAATTATAGGAAAAAAAACACATGGCAAAATATAGGCCTGCATTTGTGAAACTACAAAGTTTGAAGGTATAAACTTGAGAAAATTAGAGGCTTTTACATAAAAATAAGTCACTGAAACTGACTTTTGTTTATATAAGAGCGAGCATCTTACTTGGAAGATTTACTTAAAAAAAAAAAACAGAATGACCAATGTTTTGGAAAAAACATACTTCTTTATATAGAAAACAAAAAACATCTAAAGAATTAGAATTATGCCTGTTTGATAGTTTTAACCTTTTAGATAATGGATTGATGAAGAGAAACTCAATTACATATCCAAAAAAAAATGCAGAAAAACACTGATTACATCTCCAGACTTTAAAACTACTTGATCACCTATCAGTTAGTCGTGTTTTTCCAATGATTTTTAACAGATTGCCAACCACAAAACAATCATGAACACAGGTTATGTTTAAAGATAAATTCATTTTTCAATGCTGCAACAATCACCAGCTACTTGTCTTGTGAACACATTGCATTTATTTACAGAAAAAAACAGGATTTTGACCAGAATATAACTTTCCCATAATAACTGCTTAAGCTGAGACTAATATGACAGCAGTGTGTTTTTGTCCGGTGGATGGCACCCCCTTTCAGCTGAACATGGCTGTGTGTCTATGAAGTTGGATTTGAGCATCTCTGACTTGTGGTCCTTCTCATCTACTGGTAGTATAACTCCAGGTTCATCCCATCGTGGATTTCATCTGCAGGAGCAGCAGTTAAGTATAACAGTCTGAGTTTATTGGCACAAGTATAACATAACCATCAACAAACAAAGTGCCTGCATAGATTTCTTCTATTTTGGTCACAGCAGGCTTCATATTATCAAAACCTGATTACACATCAGGTGTAGTTTTCACATCTTATTTTACTTAATAAGGGGAAAGTGCAATTCAAATGAGCCAGAAAAACAAAAAGCAAGTTGCCCTCAAAACTGACCTGCCAAGGTTGTTTTTTTGTTTTTTTTTGCTTGTTTGTTTGTTTGTTTGTTTGTTGTTTTGTTTTTTTACATTCCTTTGGAGGACTTTTTGGGTTGTTCTTGCAGCTTGGTTTTAATGAAGCTTGCCCAAGATATTGAAAGTAATCTCACAGCAACTCAGTTGGAATTAGCATCAGACTGAAAAGATTACTTCAAACCCCTCATTTGGACTGGAGCAGTGGTTTTGGACTTGGAACTTTCCCATGGAGGCCATTTTGGCCCAGCCTCTCTTGATCTTATTGTTGAATGATGAACACAGACCTTCATTGAGTCAAGTGAGCCTTACAGTGCTTTAAATGGATTTTTGACCTGCTGCATGAGTCCTTGGTGAGCTCTGAGTCATGATGATAGGCTGGCCACTTCTTTCTGCATTTATGAATGGTGGCTCTCTCTGTAGTTACATCTAAGTAAATTCTAATATTTTTTTATTTTATTTCTTTTAAACAGAAACAAGCAACGCATAGCCAGGCAGGGCAAGGGAGTGGGCAAGTAAAGCCTGTAGAACTATCAGACTTATAATATACTGGAAGAAACCTGATTAGTAAGTTTGATTTAACAATGATTAGTGGGAAAAGCTATGGTTAGCAAATATTTGAAGTATCTCACTTTTGCTGCCAAAACAGACCTGACAGGTCCTAAGAACCACCACCCTCCTGAAGACCTGCTGCGTTTTTTATCAACAAGATATTGGCATCTTCTTAAGTCTTGTTTGTCCCTCAGATGCAATCTGTGTGCCATAACACTGCAAAACAGTTTTTGCTCGTGGGCTCTAAATCCAGTGAAAACAAGCTGAAGCTAAAAGGAAACACAACAAACCAGAAAACAGAAACATTCCTTTGTGGTTACCAGTGACCTGGTGCAGTCTCACAGATCAACTACAGACTGTACAAGAGGAGCGCTGAAAGGATACAGTCTCCTAGAGTCACATGGTCCTTAAATATGGTATACCTTTAAAAAAAACAACAGAAATAAATCTAAAGACATTTTGCAGATGTGAACAGCAGTGAATGTGAGTATTTCAAATTAGCAGCGTACCATTTTTTCAAAACGATCTTGTCGTATCGTGTTCCTGTCTGAGCTGCGATGAGCTTCTTCAGATCTCCGATGGTATCCTCTGAGCTGAACATGGAGGTTAAGGAGCAGTAGAATGCACAAAAACAACTACTGTTTCTGTGAGACAACAAAAATCTAATTTACAGAAAGGCTGAACTCCTGTGGACTCTTTTCAACCGTCCAACAAAAATTTACATTAGGAATTAAATGAGGCTCATTTTTTTTTTTATTTCACGTTCAGATAGTGGGCTTATGTTTGTCCTGCTGGATCTCAGTATTTTCTGTGTTTAACATTGGCTCTCTACAAGTACAAATGAAGTTGAAGCGGCATTAATATCTACTTTTTTTATTCCATTTTATTGCTGTTGGTTCAGCAGGTCTACGTTTAACTTCTTTCTTCTCCTAAATAAAGCAGCTTTGTGCTCTCTGACAAAAGGTGGCTCTTTATAAGCTGCAGTTTTCTTCTTGATAAAAAAAATAGCTATTACTTTCCACTAGTACCAAAAGTTTGCTCAAGCAATGGATTACTGCGAAATTAGGGACTCAGCATAATCGGTTGGGTTTCTTTTGATATAAAATTAATAATTTTACTGCATTTTATTTTTGAAAATTGGACTGCACTGGATTGATTTGATGACGCACTTCTCTTAAAAACTTGACTCCTGGCACTACAGAAATAATCTGGCCATCATAAAACCAAGATATTGAGAAAGGAATACGGATGTTCTTTGAAATCATATCCAAATAGGTTTCACTAAGAAACTGAATAACTTGTTTGTTTGTTTTTTTCTGATCAACCCACTGCTTGTCACACACTATCACAGAAGGATACTTGCATTTGACTCGGACTTTCTTTCCAAGACGATCATTGCAAACTACCTCGATCATTTTCACCGTCTGTCACAAAAAAAGAAGGAGAATGTAGTTAGGCCAGCGTTTGGCATAGCTGAACTTGAATAAACGATGGGTAAAACATGAAGCTGTTTCGTCTGTAAATCCCTAAATTTCGTGTGTTAGCTAACATGCTAAAAAAATACAGTTGTTAAATTATGATTATAGAAACAAGTAAGCATACGAATAAGCAGCATCTATAATCACGAAGATATTTACTTAAGTAAACATTAATTTACCAAATTTAATGTTTCACATACATTGAAAATGCAGGTTGAAAAATTGTTTTCCCTCGTTGGTATTTTCTGCAACGCTCTCGTTAGCTTTGCCGTAAAGCAGGTTAAATTTTTAGACCAATCAAATCAAGTAGAACATTGTATCACAACGAACGGAATCCAATGGGAGAGAAGGAAGGCCACCGTAGGGCGGGACAGGTACTGAAAACAACTTGTATCGAAAACAAGTTATTAACTGTCGTGACCTGCGCTGTAAGTCCTTCCTTGCTTCGCTCCAACAGTGAATTTAGATTTGAAAACGTTGCTACTACTGAAAATATGGGAGACGAAGAAAATTTACCGTCCGGATGGGAGAAAAGAATGAGTCGTAGTTCAGGTAAGAAACCCCAAACTGAAACAGGATAAATGAGCCACAGAGTTTTATAAAATTGTATTGTAAGTAGGCTTGATTCGCTAGCTAGCTGAATGTGCATCGTGGTACAATAAAGAAACAAACTAGAGGGATCCTATTATTACAGAATGATTGGATGAAAGAAGTGATGTAGAATAAGAAGCTATAAATCCTTTTTTTCCCAGATAGGGTTCGACATTGGTGGATGTGTCGTTACACGAAGAGCTAATTCATTCAGGTTTGCTGCTGCAGGGCCACGCATGACGTCACCCCGTTGTAGAGTTAAAATAGCTCAGAGTTTTGATTAACATAAAAGTATCTAATAATCATATTTAAAAGAAAAAGGTTGTCTTTGCCTAGTCTTTTAAGATAATCTTGTTTTAACTGATTTAAAACACTCCAGTCAGAGTAAAATAGGAGTTATTGTCTTTATTTTATTTTCTAAATGACCCCAGAAATGCGGTTCAGACTATTTTTTTTTATCAAATATTTAATCAAATTAAGTTCTTGCCTTTATGGACAATTTTAGCTGTGGCTACACTGTTTGACTTTTAAAATAAGGGATATGCAATATATTTACAACAACATTTAATTTCACTCAGGAATTAATAAAGTATTTTTGAATTTGATGGATTTTCTTTATTAGAATTTTGATGAATTTTTGATAGAAAGTACATAAGACTGAGTAATGTTTTTTATAGCTTCAAAAACATTGTTTTGAAGCTATAAAAAACCTATTACAATTATTTGGGTTATTTTCTCATCCTTGCTCTTTGATTGTCTTAATTGAAAATATGCATTATTTATTCTCTATTTCTTCTCCTTCACCCATTGTAATTGTTAAATAATTTTGTAGCAAATAAACCAAGATGCCTAATGCAAACCAGTTGTTAAATGTGTGAAAAAATATATATTAGTTAAAATGATTTAATGTGTCTGTCATGTTCTAAAAACATAGTTTCTTTCAATTTCTATGATTTAGATTTTAAATTATTTGTTATTTTTATTGCTCAAGATTTGAAACTTGTTTGGGCCAGTTGAATCTTACGAAATATAAATGATCAAAGCACAGAGCAAACCAAAATAATTCTGATTGATTTCCGGCTGGTTCATATTATTTACAGGTATTGCATGACAACCTTTCCTTGCAATAAGGCAGAGAGCTGAAATCTGACCACTGGTAGAGGAAATTAATGCCAGGTGTGACTGGTTATGGTGAAATGCATCTTGTTTGATCTAAACAAGCAAAGTCACATATTTATGTCAAGTCTGGCAGGGCTTTTCTCCTTTTCGAGTTAAAAAAGTATATATTTCTTGGAGGATCTTATCATACTGATCAGTTATGGCGCTGATGCCGCTGGGACCAACATGGTGCAGAGAGCTTAAGCTTTAAACACTGATACTGACAAACTGTATTTATGAGTTTCTTTCTTTTTGTTACTGTTTTGTTTCAAAATCATGCCAAAGTTAAATGCAGTTAAAAATTGACAAAATTATATGACATAATCAGCGTTTTGTGTCTATTGTCTATTTTCCATAAACAAACATAATTTGGACGTCTGTATGTTTGCTCTTGCAGGAAAAGTGTATTACTTTAATCACATCACCAATGCCAGCCAGTGGGAACGTCCAGTAGGAGATGGACGGGGAGAGCCAGAAAAGGTTGAGCTGAAATAATGATTGTTGCAATTTAATCAATTTCACAGGGCACTCAAAGACAAGAACTGTATATCATTGCCAAAAATAATATATGTAATTTATCACTATTAGTTAAGATGAATATGCCTGTGTTACAACCTGAGCCAACTGTTTTTGCACTTGTACGTGTTTGTGATGTTCTTTTTTATAACTCTTGTGTTTGTGTATCTGTGTAGAGTTGTCACAGACACTTCATAAATTTTGTTTATGATCCTGTTTGTGTTTGGTTTTTACATGTTATTTATTATTTTTAGTTGTTTTATTTTGGACATTAAAAATATCTTCCAGTTCCAGTGTTAAGAGTTGTTGACAAAGTTAAAATTTACTCGTCTTTGAGAACGTAAACTTGCATTATTATGCCATTATCTATGTATTACTTAAAAATGGTCCCTAAAAATGCTATTGGTTACTGCAATAATTTCTGGGACAATTTATCATCTACAAAATGTGTTATCATGACAGACTTTGGATGAATTATCATTTTATGGGGCTCATGGCTTTTCTTTCCCTCTGACAGGTTCGTTGTTCTCATCTGTTGGTGAAACACAATCAGTCACGTCGACCATCTTCCTGGCGAGAACAAAATATCACACGATCTAAAGACGAGGCTTTGGACCTCATTCAGAGTAAGTAGAGATGATCACATCTGAACTGCAGCAGGATGCCACTGTGTAAAGCATGAGCTGCTAACAGGTGCAGCTCAGAAGGCTAAGATGTCATTGATATATGCCAGTAATGATTCAAATGTAAAGATTGTTTACTTTCTTTTTTAACATATGTTAGTCATGTTACAACCTAAGTATCATGGGAAAGAGGGTGCCAATGAGTGCCCAGCAGACACTCATTGACACCCTCCATAAGGAAGAGATGAGAGGCTCATAATCTATGTTGCTTGAGGTCCAGCAGGAAGTTTTCACAGCTCAAACTAGGAGCAATTATATTACAGGAAATGATAAAGCACTTAATACAACTCTAATTTTGTCAAAAAATAAACTTGGTTTTTAGCACCGTAAGCTGTAACCATCCAGTTTTACAGAAATGTGCACTTGAAGTATTATATCACTCTTTGTACATACTTATATAAACTTCAGTTCGAAATAAGTAGAGTTTCAAATATATTATTAATTGAGTTGTCATGTTGTCTGTGTTTTTCCGCATAGAGTACATCGAACAGATCAAGTCAGGAGAGGAGAAGTTTGAAAGCTTAGCCTCCCAGTTTAGCGACTGCAGCTCAGCAAAAAATGGTGGCGACCTTGGTGTGTTTGGAAGAGGTAAACCCTGAATGGCATCCAAATAAAATACTTGCAGGATTTACAGTGCAATTGTCAATAATTGAATGATTCTAACTTTGTTTTTGACATGTGAAAAATCCTATTCTTTGTTGAATGCACATTCTGTATGCTTCAGGTCAAATGCAGAAGCCTTTTGAAGACGCATCCTTCGCTCTCAAAGTAGGAGACATGAGTGGGCCTGTTTTTACCGACTCTGGAGTTCACATCATCTTGCGTACTGGCTGAAAGAACGGCACCACCTGCTGTCCCTCTCCGTTGTCATACGCACATTTACTGAAACTAACCCAAGCAGGTCTGCCATTTGTTTAAAATGCACTCATCACCCCAGTAAGTCAAACACATGCAGTAATATTTTAGAAGGGATTTTATATGCTCAAAATCCCACACTCAAGTTTGATTAATAAAATGACTCTGAGAACAAGGATTATTCCCAAAGACCTGAAGCTTTTATCTATCACAGCAATGCCATGATAGAGAAGCATTTGTGCCTGGAGTTGTGACTGATTCCTGAAAACCAGATGCTACTGTAACTGACATGTGCATGTCTTAAAAATGGACCGTATATTGTTTTCTTTTTATTCTCCTGCATTCCTGCTGTATGCAAAAGCAGTTCCTTTACGTAAACCATTTGTATATCAGCTGTTTAAACCGTTTTCAAGATGTTGTGCATCCCCACAGACAGAGAATTTGCTGTTCTTTTGCATTCTACAACCAAGATTCAAAAACTAACAATTTGTTTATTTATGGAAGTGACTTCAGAAAGAGCATGATTGATTCCAAGGCGGTACCATTGAAAGCTTGCAGGTTTTAACATCAGGTCCCACGGCTTTTAAAAACATCAACATTCATTTAAACTGTTCACACTGTTGTAACTGAGGAATAAAGTTATAAAACACATTTTTGTCTATTTACTGAGTTCTATTAGTCATATTTCACTGAGTGAAACATTAATTCTTTCTTTTTCTACTACCTTCTATTTCCCTCATATTTCCTCTAAACTCTCCCTCATACATACATACACACACCTGCACCAGCTCTCCTCGTCCCCACACACACATATTAAAGAAACTATTAATGTACAAATTGAACTTGCATTTGACCTGCACCTGCCCTCTCAATGTGCAGCTAAGCCGTCACATCAAGCTCCCAAACACAACAGAAAACAATCTCAGACATAATAAAAACATTAATTATAGAGGATATGAAGGTATGCTGAATCTGAGCATCCCTAGATGGCTCTTTGCTGAAGCCATGGGTAAACATTTCACTGCCCCACAGATGCTATAGTGTTTGTTTGCACATACTGTCTGACATGAGATCTGCAGCATAAGAAATTGGGCATCTTATGTTGAACAAATTCTTGTGCTGAAGATGTTCGACGTAGGAGTGTATTCATATGGAAGAGAACATCTTTATGTTATGAAAATTTTCTTGGGCATCTTGTGTTCAGTATTCTTCATTTTATGTTCATCGTAGGGTAGGAAGGATAGGATGATCTTCGTTTTATGTTGAAGATATTCAGTGTAAGAGCATCTTTATAAGATGAAGAACACTTTCTTCTCATGGGGATGTTCTTCATATGTTGAACAGAAAATGTTCTTCCATCTTTTGTTGAAGATATTGAGGATAAGAACATCTCGTGAAGATGATATTGTGATCATCTTTTTTGTGTTGTGTAACAAAAATATATAATGAATTAAATTGAGTTGAATTGATAAATATCAGATGGTTTCATCGTGCAAAA